TGCTCATTCCACGACGGTACGTGATGTACGCTGCACGCGGATGATGGTAATGTGTAGCGTTGCTACAGACTCTCGAGAGTGATGAGTTTGAAAACTCGGACAACAAAGTGTCGGCGTGATTGCGCGCACGGCTACACCGATATCCGTTAAAAAACAAGTTGCTGTATTATGGCACCAAATCGACGGGTACTCCACGATTGTGGTTCCTCACGATGAGAATTTGAAATACAAAATCCTTAATAAGACCCACGTCATGTCACTCAGTGGTCTCACGAAGCGACGAATTTGTCTGTTTGACGTTTAAGAGCCGCTCCGACAGAGTACGAAAGTCCTAAACTTGAGGTAGTCGGTACACAAAGTGCTCCAAGCTCTTGAGGTCTTCCGCACAGCGTTCTGCGACCTCGGCAAGATGCTCGGCAGAGTGCCGGTGACGATGGACTTTGTTCCCCAGAGCTCAAAGAGCATCGAAAGTCACCGGACGGCGATCGACTAAGTCGTCGTCGTCCGCCGCCGACGCTTCTAGACATGAATGGCGACGTCCACTATCACGTGGAATGCCTTGCGGGTCGACGTCGTCGATAGGGTCGAACCCAATATCTTAAGAAGAGGCGGGGATACCCAAGCTCCGAGAATCATGGGAGCTTCAGGTGCCACTTCAGCAAGACTGCTCAGACGTCATGGACGGTTATGATCAGAAGGATCATGACGCTCAGCGTCATCGTGCGCCGCCCTGCTCTTCCTGACGCAAATGGGTGATGCCGGAGGGTCATGAGCTGAGCCTAAGCTATGGCTCTAAGTTGCAGTGGTCGTAGATTTACCCGTGTGAGAAACGATAGAGCTCGCGGAAGCGTGATGGGTGATTCCATGTGTCGCAGGGCGGCAACACGCAAGAAGTCAGCGTTGCGCCTTGCGTTTGTCAAACTCAAATCGATTTTGGCTTTTTAAGCGCACGTTTTCTTCTTTGTCGCTCCGCCGAAACTTAGACAGTGAGGAAAGTTTCCGATGCCGCTGCACTCATCGCACAAAAAGCTCATCATCATCTGCAGGGGTTTCGCCAGGGGCGAGCACCACAGGAATAGTCCGCATTGCGTGTTCAGAAGCGCCTCCTCTTGAGCTCGAAGTCGAGCGCGGTACCTTTCCATCGGTATTTCTTTTTGTACCGAGAAGCGCACTCGAAGAGCTTGACGCTGGTCAAGCTCAGCTTGTGTAGTGGCCGGTGGCCGGTGGCCCGACTACGTAGACGCCTTACGATCGAGTGATCGTGTTGTTCACTTGATGATCTATGACCGGACGCGAATGCAAGTGCATGAAATTTGCCCTGTAGACAGCGTCCAACTGCTGCTCCTGTGCCTCGTCGAGGCGATTGGTAATAATTCCACTCCCCCCGGAAGTCGAGAGGCCGAGGAACGGATACGGTGTCCACAAGCTTCGAGCAGGGCTCCCGTCGCGCCGTTGGCGCAGCTCGACATCCGCGCCTTCCTCGTCTTCCCATGCTGTGAAAGGGGTGTCCGATTCGTAGTCAAATTCCTCCGAATCCGCAATGAGGAAATCGTCGCCTGTGGCGAGCGCGGTGTGTAGCGCCCGGTTGCCGAGGGCTTGGAATATGCTTCCCTTGAAGTCGCGGATGTACTGTTCGAAGATGTACCCCGTGCAGAAGACGAAGAAGGGATCTGCTCGCGGGCGCCCTCGGAACCAGCTAGGTTGGGTATTTTTCGTGTCAGACACAGGGCTCATAGAGCGGAGAATGTTTAAATACGTTCTTATGGATGTAACGGTGTGTCAGACACGCGAGTCTCGTACAAGGCAACAGAAAAAAGTGAATTATGGGCATTCACAATTTTGATGGGGAGTAACGGCGTTACACGTTCCCTTGTTTATATAGGTTGGGTCACACAAGATGGTGTGACCGTACAAAGGTGTAGATTACACAAGTCGGTGTAATCACACAATGGTGTGGCTTTGCCGCAACAAGAAGCCACTCCAGTAGTTATGCATATTTATTATTTACTACTTTATCAAAAGACCTAAGGTTTTAAATATAGGTGACTCTGTCGCGGAGATCAGAATTAGATACAGTTTTAATTGTAAGCGGACGAGTGTATTTGCCTTGGTTAAGGTTTTGGGTACTCTTGGAGGCAGCGGATTGCTATTCGCTACACACCCCTTACTTATTCTGGCATAGAACGAAGGTCGGTGGCCTTAAGTAAGCTTTTTTTAAGCAAAGAGCTACGGTAGCCCCGTTGTAATGGACATCTAGACCTCTCTTGTCCAAAGGGATAAATCTCGACACGTTTATGCCTTAAAAGTCTGGTAACTCGGCATAAGCGGCCTCACTATGGTAGCCGGTTAAATTCCCACCAACACCTAGTTTATCCCATATTTTGTGATCGTCTCCAGGTGAGCGATTACTGCTCTCGGTATTGGGGCCAATAATTGTGCTAATGTAACGGGGTCACTCGTACCCTGGTAGTAGGGGGGTGTCA